ACAGTGGCCCAGCAGGAGGAGAACGACTCTGCTTCTGATCAACACACTGTAACGGTGTCCATGGATAGCAGTGACATTTCTATGATCATAGACTCCATCAATAAAGAATGCTTGGCAAGTAGTGATGGAAGCATGCAAACAAAGGATGAATCATCTGAGAGCAAAGGAGACTTGGACCTAGCAGAAAAGATGGACATTGCTGTTTCATACACTGGGGAGGAGTTAGACTTTGAAACTGTTGGTGATATTATTGCAATAATTGAAGACAAGGTAAACAAAATGCATTTACTGATGGTGATATAGTATGTGAAGATAATTCATAGCTTATGTTTTAGCAACACGGGCAGAGCTATTCTTTTTCATTTACCAAAGTACTTGTGTTTTACTGCCAGGATGTGTTCAGTAGAGCTCTATGTGAAACAGAAGAGATGTACAGATAGACAGCCTCTCTGGGATAGTGTGGGCTGTAAACAAGTTTTTTGGATGTCTGAAGTCTACTCTCAGTATAATAACCTAAAATCTATCTTTGTATAATTCCTTTGCCATGAGAAAAGGTGTGCTGATTTTGCAGAGTGAGCCAGGTTGGTTCTGTGACGTGGCACAGGGTTGTCAGTCCAGATTGGAGGTAAGACATGAGAAGCTGTGGAACTGCATTAGTAAAGAGGGGCATCACCAGGGGCGGACTGACCATTTGGAAACTCGGGCACTGCCCGAGGGCCTGGGGTCAGTAAGGGGCCCCATGAGATGCCCCTGGTACCTTTTTCATAGGCTTTTTTGAGTTTGGGCAAGGACACAGGGGCCCCATGATCCCCTATAGCCCGGGGGCCCCATGAGTTGTCAGTCCGCCCCTGGGCATCACCATTCTGGCAACAGTGTGTTAAACAAAAGCATTGGCAGATAAAAGAATTGGCTTATATACATTTTTGGCAGGTTATTTAGTTGTTTGGAAATCTCTGCAAAAAATGACAGAGAATCCCATTAATGCTTGCTTTACCTCTTGGAGAAAATGGATAATTGAAATGGGAGCCTTCAGAATTCCAGTCGACTCTGCAGTCGTGCATATAGAGGTAGGAGTAGAACATAAGTTTTTTTTCAGTTGTGGGTAGAGGTTTTTTTTTTTTGTTTTTTTTTTTTCAGTTTTGGATAGTGTGCTGATGGATTAGAACACCTATTAGGTTTTTATTGGTGTATGTGTTCCCTGTTAGGGAGCTTCACTCACTCTTATTTGTCCTATTTACCATTATCATTAAAAGTTAAATAAAATCCCAGAAAAGTAATAAAGGGGATATTTTCCAATGGGGACATTAGTTCTGCTGACCTGCAGGGCCCCAAGGGATTCCCTCATCTTGGAGGCATTTCCTCTCACTTCCTGTTTTGGCTATGGGACAGAAAATCAAGGTAAATCTTTCCAATGGGACGCAGATGGCAGAAAATAATCTGACTGGCTATAACCTTCCCTTACTCTATCCAAAATGGGGGAAAAACGGTTTGCCTTTAGCTCTACTTTTAATATCTTTTCATGTCCAGATAAAAAAAGCTGGAGTTATGTCTAAATTCCTTTGTAGTCTTGGTGTTGCAGCTGAAGTTATGCTGGGTTGTTTTTTCACTTGCTGCAAAGGTTTTTATCCAGCCAACAGGTGAAGCTCTAGTCTCTGTTGAAAAAAAGCTTGTTTATTTAATGAGTTTATTTAATTTAGATGGCTAAAGCTGGGCATAGATGGATCAAAATTTGGACTGTTCAGTAAGGACTGGTTGGATTTTCATCTTTCTGTGGCTATGCCTATCTGACAGAAGTAGATTATTTTTGGGATATGTTTTTTGGCTGCAGCCACTGATCAGTGTATTCTGACAGAGGAGAGTCCCACTCACCGAATACAATGTCCCAGCGGGGAGAAGGCTTCTATCCACTCCAATTGTGTGGATGGCGGATTCCTCTGTGGCCAGCTTTAGGAGTATGTTTCCTGAAATAAAAATAAAAAATAAAGGGGCCTGTTGCAAAATTGTTGAGCAAACAGCACCTGCAGTCAATCAGATGTAAGTACTGTTTGGGTATTTAGACAGCCAATGAGTTCAGGTTATCGAATACAAAAGCCCAGAAGGGGGGATTTGTCCATCTGTGCTGTTAGCATAGTAGGAGGAATCTTTTAGATTCCATTTGTTCAGTCCTCTGGTATTATTTCTGCATATTTCATTTATCATGTATTTGAGGGAGCATTGGTGACTATACTGTCATAGTGTCTTTTTATAGGACCATATTTCACAGATTACTGTGATAAAATAAAACTCTAATAGTTTTCTGTCTGTAATAGGTGGATGACCATCCTGAGGTTCTAGATGTAGCTGCAGTTGAGGCAGCCCTCTCATTTTGTGAAGAGAATGATGACCCCCAAGCACTTGCTGGGCCCTGGGATCAGCCTGTCCAGGAGCATTCAGCAAAAACAGAGAACATTGCACAGTCTCTTATCCCAAGGCCCAAAGATCCAACCTGTGTCCAGCCAGACACAATAATGAATATCATGGACATGACTCCTGAAATAAAATCGGAACCTCCCGAGTCTGAAGTGCAGCCTGCCCAGTCAGAGGTATCCTCAATTACTCCTCATGCAACCTTTCAGCTTGAACAGCCTGAAGATGAGATAAGAGGGACCACTTCAAATGAGACCGTTAAAGAAGAAGAAGTAGATCACCAGCTTAAAACTGAGGTATTTTTCCCAAATATAGGAACTAATAAACATAAAGGATAAGTTCACCTTTTAAGGAAAAAATAAATGCACATATTTTGGCAGGAAAAAAATGTGTGTTTTATTATTTTTCTCTGATCTTTCCTTTCTTCCAGTGTCTCCCTCTTATCTCCTGATAAGACCTAACGTGTGGAGACACTGCACATGCTCAGTTTGGTGTGTATTGCTAGAGAGGTTTTTTTTTTTTTTTCTTGGGAGAGTGAATGTGATCAGCATAGGGCCAATCAGCACTGCCCAGACAGAGTTCAGGGGTTCTACATCCTCCTAGAGAAAACTCCTCCTACAAGCTTTAACCAGTGCTCTGCTGAACACTGATAGAAGTCAGAAGACTGCTCTAACTGCTGATGAAAAAGGTATTCAGCAGTTTATATTTACTAAAATAATTGCACTTACATGTTCTGTGTACTGTTGTAGACTAGATATAGTGAATGCAGGGTCCTGGGTTTAGGAACACTTTAAATACAAGATTAATATGTGACATGTTTTGAACTGTGAATTTATCCTTTAAGATACAGCTCTCAGAAATACATATGCAACTATACCCTGTCTTGGACAGAGATGCACTATATTGCCAAAAATATCAGGTTGAGGTCAGGACTCTGTGCAGGCCAGTTACATTCCTCCACCCCAAACTTACTTATCCATGTCTTGATGGACCTTGCTTTGTGCAGTGGTACACAGTCATGTTGGAACAGGAAGGGGCCATCCCCAAACTGTTCCCACAAAGTTAGGAGCATGAAATTGTCCAAAATGTCTTTGTATGCTGACGCCTTAAGAGTTCCCTTCACTGGAACTAAGCAGCCAAGCCCAACCCCTAGAAAAAAACCCACACCATAATCCCCCCTCCACCAAACTTTACACTTGGTACAATGCAGACCGGTAGGTACCGGTTTCCTTGCAACCGCCAAACCCAGAAACATCCATCGGATTGTCAGACAATCGTGATTAGTCCCTCCAGAGAACACGTCTCCACTGCTCTAGAGTCCAGTGGCGGCGTGCTTTACACAACTGCATCTGACGCTGTGCATTGCACTTGGTGATGTAAGGCTTGGATGCAGCTGCTCGGCCATGGACACCCATTCCATGAAGCTTTCTACGCACTGTTGTTGTGCAAACCTGAAGGACACACAAATTTTGGAGGTCTTTAGCTATTGACTCTGCAGACAGTTTGCGTCTGCATGCGCTGACCCTGCTCTGTCATTTTACATGGCCTACCACTTTGCGGCTAAGTTGCTGTTGTTCCCAGTTGCTTCCACTTTGTTATAATACCACTAACAGTTAACCGTGGAATATTTAGTAGCAAGGAAATTTCATGGATGGACTTATTGCACAGGTAACAACCTGTCATGGTACCACTCTTGAATTCACTGAGCTCCGGAGAGCGACCCATTCTTTCGCAAATGTTTGTAGAAGCAGTCTGCATGCCTAGGTGCTTGATTTTGTACACCTGTGGCCATGGAGGTGATTGGAACATCTGAATTCAATGATTTGGAGGGGTGTCCCAATACTTTTGGCAGTATAGTGTATTTGGCATGGTTGCAATGTTACTGTGCCACCTGTTCTGCGTTAGCTGCAGTATTAGGCTAAAGGGTGTCTAAAAGCAAAACGAGGCAGTATTTTTGTACATATTAGATTATGATGCCTTTATTTACATACACTGATCAGCCATAACTTTATGACCAATGACAGGTTAAGTGAATAACTTTGATTGTCTCATTACAACAGCATCTGAAAGCTGATGTGATATATTAGGCAGCAAATAAACGTGTTGTTCAAGTGGATGTGTTGAAAGCAGAAACAATGGGCATCACAGTTTGTTGCGTATGGGACTACGTATCTGCAGATCAGTCAGGGTACCCATGCTGACCTGTGTCCACATCCAAAAGAGCCTACAATGGGCACGTGAGCATCAGAACTGGACCACCAGGCATTGGAAGAAGGTGGACTGGTCTGATGAATCACATTTTATCGTACATCATGTGGATGGCTGAGTGTGTGTCGCTTACCTGGGGAAGAGCTAGCAGCAGGATGCAGTAAGGGAAGAAGGCAAGACAGAAATGGTTCGAGAATGGTTTGAGGAACACAAGAAATTCAAGCTGTTGACTTGGCCTCCAAATTCTCCAGATCTCAAACCATCAAGCATTTGTGAGATGTGCTTGAAAAAACAAGTCTGGTCCATGGAAGCCCCAGCTCCCAAATTACAGGACTTACAGGATCTGTTGCTGATGGCTTGGTGCCGTGTATCACAGCATACCTTCAGAGGTCCAATGACGTCTATGTCTTGACAAGTCAAGGCTGTTTTGGAGGCAAAGGGGGGACCTGCTTAATATTAGGTGGGTGGTCATAAATCTATGGCTGATAAGTGTGTATAGGTATTTTTCATTGAACCGTTTACATATACTTTCATGGATTTTACAGGATCCCAGTTAGTGTGTGTAGTGATAATATCTTTTAACTGTCCATTGCTCATTTGTGTTGTGTTTAGACATCACAGTGTGAAAATTCCCATAACGAAGCTTTTCCAAGTGAAGAGGATAAAGGAATAGGATCTGAAGATAATCCAGTACTAAGTGGTATGTTTTAAATTGCATTTCTTAGAGCAGAGTTAGGCTTTGGGGAGCAGTGTGTATGATTAACCACTTCCCGACCGGCCGTTGTATATAAACGGCCGGACGGTGGCACTGCAGGGTCGGGTGGCCGTCTATAAACGGCCTCCCCGCACCCTGCTTGTGCGTGCTCCCTGGGAGCGCGCAGCACCGCGATCCGGTGCCCACTGTGTCCTCCGGACACAGTGAAACACCGATCGTCGGACGGGACCTCTGTACGAGGTCCCGATCATGTGATCACCGCTGTGTCCTCCGGACACAGTGAAACACCGATCGTCGGACGGGACCTCTGTACGAGGTCCCGATCATGTGATCACTGATTGGCGAATCAGTGATCACATGCAAAGTAGTAAGCAAGATGTCACTTCTGACATCATTGCTTACTATGTGTGAAATCTGTGAATGATCACAGAGGTCACATGGTACAAGGCTATTCACAAAAGCCTTGTACCATGTGACAAGCTGTGACCAATCACAGCTCACTCTGTATTTCTCAATGAGTGCAGGAATGCACACAGAGAGAAAGAGAAATGATTGCTTTTACATCCTATATGGGTGTAAAAAGCAATCAGTGTAAAAAAAAAAAAAAAAAAAAAAAATCTTTATCACCCCCCACAAGTAGTACAGTCTCACCATGGTGACACTGTACTGCTAGGGTGACAGTATGTAAAAAAAAAAATAAAAATAAAAAATAATAATATAAAAAAATAAAATAAAAATGTAAAAAAAAAATGTTTAAAATTATAATTTTTGCCTATAAGCTAATTTGGATTTTTTTTTTTTACTAAAAAAATAACGGAATAAATTTTGGCTAAGATTTATGATGAAATATTATTTATTTGCAAAATTTTATAAAAAAAACACTTTTTTAAAAAAATTTTTGGACATTTCATTTACATAGCAAAAAAAATACAAATCCCAGTGGTGAATAAATACCACCAAAATAAAGCTTTATCTATCTAAAAAAAATGGTAAAAAATTCATTTGGGTACAGTGTTGCATGACCGCGCAATTGTCATTCAAAGTGTGATAGCGCTAAAAGCTGAAAATTGCCCTGGTCAGGAAGGGGGTAAAAGTGTCCGGTCTGGAAGTGGTTAATAGTACTTGTTTTTTTGTTTCTGTTTCAGAACCAGTGAAATCGGAACCTACACCTAGCAGTCACAACAAGGTATCTTGATCAACTACAGTTTTCCTAGTATTTCTTTTTAGGGTTGAAGCTGGAGTGTATTAACAAAAGTACTGTTATCTCTGAAGGATTCACAAGCAGAGGAGGAAGAGGAGGAGGAAGATGTCACAAGTGAAGTTGGCAGTCCAGAGGAACCCAAGGAAGAAGAAGCTGGAGAAGAGTACCTTTCTGAGATGGACAATGAGCCACCAATCAGTGAGAGTGATGATGGTTTCAGTATTCATAATGCCCAGCTTCAGTCCCACACTCTTGCTGATTCCATTCCCAGCAGTCCAGCATCTTCTCAGTTGTAAGTAACATTTTCAGAATAGATTATGTTAGTTGGCAGTTAACGTGGAACTACAGCCAGAACATGTTTTCCCGGTTTTGAAAACAGTTGGGGATGGCTTAGAGCTTGTGTTAGGTTTTATTGTTGGTTTTCTCATTCAGATTTTACCCTCACTACCTGTTTTGTCATCCTGACAAAATGTTAGCAGAAATTTCTCCAGCAGACGTATACACAGCAAATAACGCTTTATTTAGTAGAGGGAATAGGATTAGAACATCTTGAGTTTTTATAGCTTTTGAAGATTTTTCTTTACTTCCTGTCACTCAGACTGATTAATTTATCTTAGCAGAGCATGTGCATTTTCAACGTCTTTTTTTTTTTTTTTTTTTTTTGTGTTTTCAGTTCTGTCTGCAGTGAAGATCAAGAGGCCATCCAAGCTCAGAAGATTTGGAAAAAAAAGCCATAATGTTGGTGTGGCGAGCAGCAGCCAATCACAGGTCAGTATTTGCCAAAGTGTATAAATTAATATGTAAATTTTCTTTGTTGAGCAGGAAAATATGTGTATATTTTATCTTCACATAAAAACTTAACTAGCAGACAAGTTGTTAAAGTAAATCTAAACTCTTTTTAAATATAAATTTATTAAAGGCATTTATACAGTGCTGACAATTTACACAGCACTGTACAGTCACAGCAGTCTCTGCCCTCAAGATGCTTACAGTGCAAAGCCTTGGACGTCGCTGGACTTTTGGTGGGTTTACTGGAGTGATGCCTGCAACTGCAGACATCACCCCAGTACCACTTTTTTAGAGCTGGCTGTCTTGTACATGCAATCGGAGTGGGATCTCCCGTCCCACTAAGAGACCCGAGCGACCAGCCGTTACGTCCGGGGCTGGCCAGGCAGCTGAACAAAGCCGGGATCAACTTTAGTCGCTTCTCCCTTATAGTGAACCGGAAGCGATGACCTGACATCAGTTTGCGTTTACTCTGAATTTATTGGCGCCATTTTTGAAAAACTGAAAGCATTCAAAAATACAGATCTTGGTGTTTTGAATGCTTTCAAGTGCAGAAGAAGGAATTGGGGTCTTATAGACCCCACACCCCTCCATAAAGCTTACCTGTCACGTGTCTATTTCTGTCATAAGGGATGTTTACATTCCTTGTGGTTGCAATAAAAGTGATAAAAAAAAAATAATAATTTAAAGCGACAGTGTAAAAATGAAAAAGAAAATTATACAGAAAAAAAAAATTTTAAGTGCCCCCATCCTCCCATGCTTACATGCAAAAGCAAACGCACGCATCGGTCCTGCACGTACTCAAACAGCGATCTTTCCATACGTGAGGTACCGTTGCGAAGGTTAGATCATGGGCAGTAATTCTAACACAAGACTTCTGTAAATCTAAAGTGCTGATCTGTAAAGGCTTTTAAAACGTCGCCTATAAAAAGTAAAATATTCTTTTTAGGGTTTCCAAGACATTTTCTAGAAATAAATACTGATTTTAACATGTAAACAAAGTGCCAGAAATGACCTGGAGTTGTGGAGTGGCTTACAGTAAGTAAAGTGTAGTGGTTTCATGTAACATGTCCCTAGTCTCTGACTGTCTCCTATAGCATGACTTCAGTCTGCAACCACTCCTGTAGAACAATCTCTGATCATTTCCTGTAGTAAGTCTTCCTTCTGTGACAGTTTTAAGTAGCATTACACATAATGAATACTATATATGGGCAGCACAGTTGCTAAATGGTTAGCACTTCCGCCCGGCTGCACTAGGATCGTTGGTTCGAATCCCAACCACAGCACTACCTGCCTGGAGTTTGCATGATCTCCCTGTGCCTGCGTGGGTTTCCTCTGGATACTCCGATATCCTTCCACACTCCAAAGACATACTGGTAGGTTAATTGGATCCTGTCTAAATTGGCCCTAGTATGTGTATTTATGAATGTGAGTTAGGGACCTTAGATTGTATGCTCCTTGAGGGTTAGGAACTGATGTGAATGTACTATATATATATGTGTGTGTGTGTGTGTGTGTGTGTGTGTGTGTGTGTGTGTGTGTGTGTATGTAAAGCGCTGCATAAATTTACGGCGCTATATAAGTACCTGTAATAAATAATAAATATATGCAGCCCTTTGGAGACATTGGAGGCCGTATTTGAGGCCCCCTTTCACCTTGGAAGTTGACAACCACTGTTCTGTCTTTTCTTACATGCATACATACACATACTAGGACCAATTTAGACAGGGGAAAATTTATTATTTGATCCCCTGCAGATTTTGTAAGTTTGCGCACTTACAAAGAAATGAAGGGTATATAATTTTTATCATGTGTATTTTAAATGATAGAGGCAGAGTATCAACCAAAATCCAAAAAAACACATGATACAAATGTTATAAACTGGCTTGCAGTTCAGTGAGTAAAATAAGTATTTGATCCCCTACCAACCAACAATAATTCTGGCTCCCACCGATGAGACGGACTATGCGCTCATGTGGTACACAGATTAGTCCTGTCAATTTAAGAAGGTGCTCCTAACGACAACTAATTGTGTGTATAAAAGACACCTCTCCACAGAATCTTTCTTCCATTCAAACCTCACCACAATGGGTAAGACCAGAGAGCTGTCAAATGGCATCAGGGATAAGACTGTAGACCTTCACAAGGCTGCAATGGGCTACAAGACCATCAGCAAGAAGCAAGAAGATTATTTTCAAATTGAAGAAATACAAAATAACCATCAGTCACCCCCAGTCTGGAGCTCCTTGCAGGATTTTGTCTCATGGGATAAGAATGATCATGAGAAAAGTGAAGGATCAGCCCAGAACTACATGGGAGGAGTTTGTGAATGATCTCAAGGCAGTTGGGACCACAGTCACCAAACAAACCATTGGTAACCCAATATGCTGCCATAGACCTGTAGACCTTCACAAGGCTGCAATGGGCTACAAGACCATCAGCAAGAAGCAAGAAGATTATTTTCAAATTGAAGAAATACAAAATAACCATCAGTCACCCCCAGTCTGGAGCTCCTTGCAGGATTTTGTCTCATGGGGTAAGGATGATCATGAGAAAAGTGAAGGATCAGCCCAGAACTACATGGGAGGAGTTTGTGAATGATCTCAAGGCAGTTGGGACCACAGTCACCAAACAAACCATTGGTAACCCAATATGCTGCCATAGATTAAAATGAAATCCTGCAGTGCCCGCAAGGTCCCCCGTCCCCCCAAGAGGGCACGTGTACAGGCCAGTCTGAAGTTTGCCAATGAACATTTAATTGATTCAGAGAAGGATTGGGAGAAAGTGCTGTGGCCAGATTAGACCAAAATTGAGCTCTTTCGCATTAGCTCGACTTGTCATGTTTGGAGGAAGAAAAATGCTGACTATGACCCTGAGAACACCATTCCTACAGTCTAGCATGGAGGTGGAAACATTATGCTTTGGGGCTGTTTCTCTGCTAAAGGTACAGGCCGACTTTGCTGCATTGAGGGGCAAGTGGACAAGGCCATGTATTGTAAAATCTTGGATGAGAACCTTCTTCATGCAGCCAGAACCCTGAAGATGGGTTTTGGATGGGTCTTCCAGCATGAAATGGCCCAAAACATACCACCAAGGCAAAAAAAGGAGTAGCTCCAGAAGAAGCACATTAAGGTCATGGAGTGGCCTAGCCAATCTCCAGACTTTAATCCTATAGAAAATTTATGGAGGGAGCTGAAACTTCAAGTTGCCAAGTGACAGCCAAGAAACCTTAAGAATTTAGAAAAGATCTGTAAAGAGTGGACCAAAATCTCTACTGAGATGTGTGCAAACCTGGTAACCAACTACATGAAACGTCATACCTCTGAGCTTGGCAACAAGGGTTTCTCCACCAAGTACTAAGTCATGTTTTGCTTCGGAATCAAATACTTATTTTACTCACTAAACTGCAACTCAATTTATAACAGTTGTATCGTGTTTATTCTGGATTTTTGGTTGATATTCTGTGTAAGTGGGCAAACTTACAAAATCGGCAAGGGATCAAATAATTATTTATCCCACTGTATCCTAGAATATATCATTAAATGCATGTTTAAAATTCAAACACTGTTAGTACCTGAATTTGACCTGGTATCAGCCAAATGCAGTCCCTGTACGTAAGGGCTAGTGTGGGATGAAAAAGAAGCACAAGACGTCAGTCAGTTCATGTACCTGAGAAGAAGCATGCTGAAAGGAGTTACAGATGTTATCACTGTGCTGCTTCTCCTTTTACTTTCTAGTCAAGGTCCAGGATGCTGTGGAAGTGAGTTGAATGATGCTTGCCATAAAAAGTACTGCAATAGAAACCTTTGTATTTAAACTGACTATTGTTGCAAAAGGGGGTTTTGTTATGTTATCATTTATTTGGGGGTTCATTTTTATTTTGTTTTTGGCCAGAGTAATGCTTTATTTTTTTCCTGTTCTCAGGAGTTTTTACTAGAGGCTGAACCTCTTGGAGGAATAGGAGCTGAGTTTTAACATAAGCATTGTAGTTTAATTTTACTGTAGAGTGCATATTTACAGGTGAAACTCGAAAAATTAGAATATCGTGCAAAAGTTCATTTATTTCAGTAATGCAACTTAAAAGGTGAAACTAATATATGAGATAGACTCATTACATGCAAAGCAAGATAGTTCAAGCCGTGATTTGTCATAATTGTGATGATTATGGCTTACAGCTCATGAAAACCCCAAATCCACAATCTCAGAAAATTAGAATATTACATGCAATCAATAAAACAAGGATTGTACATAGAACAATATCGGACCTCTGAAAAGTATAAGCATGCATATGTACTCAGTACTTGGTTTGGGCCCCTTTTGCAGCAATTACTGCCTCAGTGCGGCGTGGCAAGGAAGCAATCAGCCTGTGGCACTGCTGAGGTGTTATGGAAGACCAGGATGTTTCAATAGCGGCCTTCAGCTCTTCTGCATTGTTCAGTCTCATGTCTCTCATCTTTCTCTTGGCAATGCCCCATAGATTCTTTATGGGGTTCAGGACAGGCGAGGCGAGTTTGCTGGCCAATCAAGCACAGTAATCCCACGGTCATTGAACCAGGTTTTGGTGCTTTTGGCAGTGTGGGCAGGTGCCAAGTCCTGCTGGAAAATGAAGTCAGCATCCCCATAAAGCTCATCTGTGGAAGGAAGCATGAAGTGCTCCAAAATCTCCTGGTAGATGGCTGCATTGACCCTGGACTTAATGAAGCACAGTGGACCAATGCCAGCAGATGACATGGCTCCCCAAATCAACACAGACTGTGGAAACTTCACACTGGATTTCAAGCATCTTGCAGTGTGTGCCTCTCCATTCTTCCTCCATACTCTGGATCCTTGGTTTCCAAATGAGATGCAAAAGTTGCTCTCATCAGAAAGGAGGACTTTGGACCACTGAGCAACAGACCAGGTCTGTTTTTCTTTAGCCCAGGTAAGACGCTTCTGACGTTTGTTGTTCAGGAGCTGCTTGACAAGAGGAACACGACATTTGAGGCCCATGTCCAGGATCCGTCTGTGTGGGGTGGCTCTTGATGCACTGACTCCAGCCTCAGTTCACTCCTTGTGAAAGTCCCCAACACTTTTGAATGGCCTTTTCCTGACAATCCTCTCCAGGCTGCGGTCATCCCTGCTGCTTGTGCACCTTTTTCTTCCACTTTTCCCTTCCACATAACTTTCTATTAATGTGCTTTGATACAGCACTTTGGGAACATCCAACTTCTTTTGCAATTACCTTTTGAGGCTTTCCCTCCTTATGGAGGGTGTCAATGAAGGTTTTCTGCACAACTGTCAGGTCAGCAGTCTTTCCCATGATTGTGATTCCTACTGAACCAGACTGAGAGACCATTTAAAGGCTCAGGAACCCTTTGCAGGTGTTATGGCTTAATTAGCTGATTAGAGTGGGACACTTTGAGCCTAGAATATTGCACCTTTTCACAATATTCTAATTTTCTGAGATTGTGGATTTGGGGTTTTCATGAGCTGTAAGCCATAATCATCACAATTATGACAAATCTTGCTTTGCATGTAATGAGTCTATCTCATATATTTCACCTTTTAAGTTGCATTACTGAAATAAATGAACTTTTGCACGATATTCTAATTTTTCGAGTTTCACCTGTATATTAACCATGATTGTGGATTACTGACATAGGTAAAGTAGGCCAGTGTACCCAATTTGAGCAGTTTAAGGATTTATTGAGAGGCTTTTTTCAGATTACTGCTAATAAGCATATGAACACCTTTAGATGAAATAAAGGGGTTGATTTACTGAAGGCAAATGGACTGTTCACTTTGCCAGTGCAGCTGCACCTTTCAAGGGCATTTGCTTCAGAGCTTAGTAAATGAGGGAAAATGCTAATTCTCATTTTTCCTACATGTGATTGAGTATTCTTGGCAGAGTGGAGCGCTCTCATTTACTAGCCTGTTAAACACATGCCCTTGCAGAGTGAAAAATGTACAGTCTTTTTATCTTTAGTAAATCAACCCCAAAGTTCTTCCGTTAAACCTATGTAACACGTAATGGCGTTGATTTTTTTTTTTTATTATGCATTTGTTCATATCTAGGTATGCCAATGTCTTCCTGCAGCCTGTAACAGACGACATTGCTCCTGGCTATCACAGCATTGTACAGAGGTAATGTCAAGTCTTTATTTGACTTCAATAATATCACTTTTTTGTTCTATACACTTGTCTTAAAATGCTGTTCTAATTAGGTGAATGGGAGATTGTTTCTCCTTTTATATTGCTAGGTTGATGTGGAGTGGGTGAAGGCTCTGATATTTCAATTGTGCTTTTAATACCTGTTATTACTTTGCATTGATGAGACATAATTCACAGCCAGAAGCAAAGACTCTTGCAGCTATTTTTCCATGATTGCTGTTAAAGAAGTATGGCCAAATCGCTTTTTGCCATACTCCTCCTGTGGGTCACAGGCGTGCACATATTTCTGCACTCCTGTGACCCAGATTCAGCGGACAGTGGACTAAAGCGCACTGTTGGCTGATGCCACATTGCCAGTCCAGGCTGTGCAGGGATCCGGGCATAAATATCTGGATCCACCCAGATGCCTCACTGGCAGCTGGCTCGGCCTCTAAGCATGCCACTGATAACCTGAGCCAGGTGCTTCCACCTTGTCCACAGTTAAGTGCTCCAGTGGGCACTGGAGGGACAGAGCATAGAACCAGTGACTGACAGTCACTGCTCTGTGCAAAGAGCGAACCCAAGAAATGAGCGATCTGCGGTCTTTGAGCACTCAGTTCTTGCTGTAGAGCCGGCGGGGTATAGGGTGCAGCATCAGATTGATGCTGCAGGCATCTAGGGTGAGTATGTTTTTTGTTTTTTTTTTTAAATTCAGACTCCTAAAATATATTACTATATGGTTTGGGCAAAAAGGATATACAAAAGAAGGCTCCCTTCTGAGCCTCATGTATGAACCCCTTCTTAATTTACTCAAACAGTACAAACCCTGGACGCAGTGCTGCTTGTGTAATCATTTTAACAAAATTTTATTGTCCTGGAATGGGATGTTCCCTAGCAGACTTGCTTCGTTCTGATGCTTTTTGGCCGGTTACAGGACTTAATCATTGAGCAGGAGGGACTTCATCACGGCTGAGCCAGTCAGATGGCCAGAGTTCATGAATCTGGACGGAAGACTGGGTGAAGATGGAAGCCTTTGCAGCGGTGATAGCGTGCCACTGGCGGGCTTTGCATTCTTCATAATGTGCTAGTATGCCATGCATACTAGCACAGTAAGACATTACCTTGCAGGGGATTTTTTCTCTTTTTTAAGTTGCGGTTTACTACCGCTTTAATTCATACCTTGTAGTCCTCATTGAATCCAGTGCTGTGACTGTGTGCAACCCTTATCTTCCGTCAATTCTTGGTTTCACAGGCTTTGCTGCAGCAGTGGGAGACACTGGCTCCCACTGCTGTCAATCAAAACTGGTGAAGAGGGAGTGGTGGGGGGGCGAGGTCGAGTCCTGCTGTCAGTGTCTATAGACTCAGGCAGCGGGACTTGGGACCGAGCAAGAGTGTTCCTATAGGAAGCGGCTTCCTATGGGGGCACTTGCCAGAGAGGAGGAGTCGGGTGCAAACTGGAGACTCCAGAAGAGGGGTAAGTATAAACCCTTTTATTTCTTTAATTTGTACTTACAAACACTTTAAGTACAAAATATTGATATGCTCTTTTCTCTTCCCTGTAAGGCCTATGGACCTTTCTACAATAAAGAAAAACATTGAGACAGGTATAATTCGAACCACAGCTGAGTTTCAGAGAGACATCATGCTTATGTTTCAGAATGCTGTAATGTATAATAGCTCTGATCATGACGTCTATCATATGGCTGTGGAGATGCAGAGAGATGTGTTGGAACAGATTCAGGTATGGCTTTGGTTTTTAAAATATGTCTGGAAATCTTTGTTCTTTGCATAGTTTACTTTTTAATTTACTTGTTGTCAGCCGTTGGAAAACTGATGATACATAAGGTTGGGTTTGGAGTATGCATTTGAAGCCTATGGTAGCTTTCTTTGCCTTATTAGCCTTTTGTATTTGATCCTTCCTCTATATTATCTCTGATTGTTCTGTTTTATAGCAATTTTTGGCCACGCAGCTGATTATGCAGACATCCGAATCTGGGATAAGTGCTAAGAGTCTGAGGGGCCGAGATTCTACACGCAAGCAGGATGCCTCTGAAAAGGTACTAAATGTCACATGTGCAAGAGCCAGCTATATGTCCTTTTAATTCTCTAGAGGGCTTTCATAGTATACCATATGTTTACTTGTTAGAGCGTAAGGATGGATTTGTTGTCAAAATATCCATATTGATGCTATCTTCACATGAAGGTACTAGAGTCAGATTATGTGGAATCGGGTGTATCATTCGATTCCTCTTTAAAACTTTGCAGATTATCTCACAAGTGTGTTTAAACCTTATAACAATTGATAATTTTGCAGTTGGTTTTGCTATCTGCTTTAAGGTTCTGGTATTGTCATATTTAAAATGATCAGCCTTAGGGATTATTGTAAGCACTTAATGCCTCTGAGCTAGCACAGCATCAGATTTAAATGTTGGTTCCTTCCTTTAGAAATCTGTGGGTGAAAGGAAATATTAAAAATGACTTATTTGTCCATCAATAGGTCCGCTAATATAGGAATAATTGGCTTTGGTTGAGCACCACAACATTCGACATTGGTAGTGCTTCTTTCTTCTTGTATTGAATGTTGTCTTTGTGGACAGAGGTATTTGCCTATATTTTAGTGCACAGTTCCAAGAAGTGCACTGTTCAGTGCTTGGAACATGGCATTGTGCCTCATTAGCAGCAGAGGTAATTGATGATCAATAGCTGGAGCAGACAGGGGCGAGGGTGAAAGACCTGGGTCAAGCTACAAGGTGACTAAAGGGAAACCTAAGGCTGAAGTTATTCTAAATCAGTGATTTTACGAAGACAGGGAAATTAGATAAAGCTGCGGCATGTAAAAGTGTACTTGTCAGTGCAGATCAATGAAGGGTCCAATTAAATTGATATTTGTCATATTGAATGATATAATAGATTTTTCAATAAATTGCTGTGTTCGCTTTTCATCTGCATGACCAACAGTGAGGCACACAAAGGGGACATTGCTAAGTGTGAATTTGGGAACTGAAATTGCTATTTTCTTAAATAATCTGGTTATCCCAACATCGCCAAAGCTGACAGAAGCTCTCACAAGACCTGCTCTGTCTGTCATGTGGTGGATGTCAGCGTCCCCGACCCTACAAAGTACATTTTAAGTGTCTTTTTATTAAGTTTTTGTTAAACAGAAGCAAAATGTATATATCCGTTTTGTTTTTTTTTTTTTTGACTGAATTGGTATGAAATGAGTATTTTACTTGTGGCATCTTATTTTATGTGAGCAGCAAGAGAAGCCAGTGCTGGCCAAAAGCCTTCTCAAGTCTTATTTGAGTCTTGCGTTTCCTTCTAAGCTTCATGTTAAAGTCCTGGCTCCTCTTCTGCTTTTGTGTTGTCAGCTTGTCCGTGTTTTGTGTTGGAGAGTCTCCGTGGAATCTGACCTGTTTTTCTATTTGTCCTTTAACAGGACAGTGTCCCCATGGGCTCTCCTGCCTTCCTTCTCTCTCTCTTTGTAAGTATTGAATAGCTGCAATGTGATGGATGGAATGAATGTACCAAGACTTGCTAGTCTTCAGTTAGAACTGTTTGACTTTCTTCACTATGCTTTGCATCTGTCGAACAGTGCTTTCCTAGTGCCTCTTTCTGTACTTCAAGCTGTTGTTCTGTTTATTTGTAATAAGCTGTGTGCATGTAGAATTTTCTTCAATCCATTAATCTCAAAGTAGCAGAGTCAGTTAACTTGTTGTGCAGTGCATGGTAAAGAAGAACTACTCATTCTGCAGTGTAGCAGTTCAGTTAAAGCAACTCTTCAGAACAGTGAAATATGAATACAGACAGGGTTAATACAGCAGCACTAAGATGAGAAGGCAGATGTTCCAGCTTAGACTTATCTCAGGTATGTGAGAAGATTTTCTGAGTCACAGTAAAGCCTTTCAAAGCGCATCGGCTTCAAACCTTTATTTCCTTGCATGAATGCTTGCATTGCTTTTCACAGCACTCTTTCTTTTGCCTTCTTCACTGAACAGGATGGCGGTACTAGAGGGCGTCGCTGTGCAATTGAAGCGGATATGAAAATGAAAAAATGAAGTGACCACAGCCTATACATCATATGGAATTTCATGTAGTAGTTGTTACCAATGAAGACTGTATCATGTGATGTCTATGTAAACAAGTTAGTTTGTAAAACCCCAGTATCTGGGTCTTATAGTGAACAGTCATGTTTGTGTGTCCTCCATGAAGTGGCACTATACAGGCAGTATTGATTATAACTTGTAGATATGTACAGCTCTCCGCAACAGTGACTTCTTGTGATTAATGTGTCACAATAATATGGAAGTTATGCAGATTTCACTTAAAATGGGATTGCCATTCACATCATGTATTTAGAACAGTACAAAAGTAGCATAGGACACGCTACTAAACTGTCCTTGTTGTTCTGTATAGATTTTGGATATGAATGTAGGATGACTGGATCAGAATTGTGAAATAGAAATAACTAGAATATACATTCTACATTCCATGATAGTTTTCAGCTCACAGATTATGGTAACTATTGGCACTATGCTGTCTTTACATATTTTTTTTTGTTGACATATTTAGCATTCATAGTATTTATTTTGCTGTGTTCTGTACAACATAACACTGCCACTAAATAGCCTATCTTTGGGAGCTAACAGGATACACACTCTATTGTCTTTTATTTCAATTTGAGGAACAAGTCATTTTTAGGCCTCTGTAAATCTCTGGCCATTACTTACGTTTGTTCTAATTACCCAGATTGACATATCCTAGACATTGCTGCTTCAACTCTCTGAAGATGAAATGGGCTTGAGCTTGAAGGGTCAGTCCACCCAAAACTAATAACCAGGTTTTGTTGGATAATGGTAAATTAAATCTCCTAATGGTTTCATAAACCTATTCACAACTATATCCCGTTTGGATTTCTAGATCTGCGTGTTTCCTACTTTTCTTGTTTGATTTTCAATTTATATTATGGAGTATGCAAGAGAGGAGTGAAACATTACAGAGTAAGTGGAAAGACTCTAGAACTATGGCAAGGATACCCTAACCAGACTCCACCTATAACTGAAATTGTTGTGGGGTGGACTAACCCTTTAAGTTCAGTTTTGATTTAGTCATCCTTACCAAAAATAGCAAATTGAATAGCTGTCAGCATTTTCATGAATTCTGTAAAACTGCTGTGTAACATAGTCATTTTTTGTATTCAATGTATTTAAAGTGAAAATAAAAAGCACTATGTTGGCTATATGCCAAAGAAAATATATTTCAGTGGGATCTGTGTTTGTTTTTACTATACTTTTTACTATTCTACTATACATACAGACTAAATAAGTCCACTCTGGTTACACCCTTCTGTAAGTTAATTCTTATAGGATTGATTCTTTACTGCTACATTGCTTGCAATGAATGTACTGCAGTCATGTATGTTGATGATTGTTGAAGTGAACCCATGCCCAGACTAGACACACTTAAAGCAGAACTAAACCCTCCTATCTTTTACATCCAAGAAAGCTACCATTTTTTTGCCTCTATCCGTTCTGCAGTTGCCATAGTGCTGCACTTGTGATCAGTTATGACACCAGCTATTTCATGGTTTGATGGTAAGGTTGTGAGCACAAGCATCTATGACAGTTATCATTCACTGCATGCCTTGAAGGTAGCTATTTTGGAAACTGTTAAAATTGATGGGTTTAGTTCCGCTTTAAGTATTTTCATATTCTGAACAAGCAGTATAAGCATTTTAAAACAAACCCTAATTAACCTCTGAAGCTATAGGCGTTTTGTAGAAAGTATTTTTTTAATTTCCTAACATAAGCAGGGAAACCACAACTACTTTTTTTTTTCAGAATCTTGAGTGCCTGCAGGTGTTTTAATGTAAATTAACAGAATGTGTTTTTATAGTTTATTGTTGTGATCTTTGAGAATTAAAGCGGAGCTTCACCTAAAAGGGGAAGTTCCGCTTTAAGCCTTTGTCCCCCGCTCCCCGTTAAGGATTCGCACCTTTGGGGAGCGAGGGGGTGGGCGCAGGTACCCGAATTTGACTGGTACCCACTCTCACTTCCGCTGCAATTGCCTGTGTGATCGGAAGTGGAAGTTGTCCTCCTCCACCTCTCCCCGTAGTCTGGGACAAGACACAGCTCCCAGAAGACTACGGGGCCATTCACAAAGCTTAGAGCTTCTCACGCATGCGCAGTGGGCACCCGGCTGTGAAGCCGCAAGCTGTCACAGCCAGGTGCCCACATTGAAGATGCCTTGGAGAAAAGACAGCCGGTAAAACCAGCCATGGTGAGGACACTACTGGACCAAGGGACAGGTAAGTGTCTGTATTTTAAAAGTCAGCAGCTACAGTTTTTGTAGCTGCTGACTTTTTTTTTTTTTTTTTTTTCAGCTGGAAATCTGCTTTAATTGGCTAAGACCATCCAAAAGGATCTTGTTAATATGCAAGTTGATTTCTTATTTATAGAGTAATTTAAACTCCTGGCAGTGACCTTAAACTACTGCAAGGATGGGTTTTTAGACATCTCCCATCTCATGTCCCCTGTCGGTGAACATGAGGAAGAATTTTTGGTTAACGTTTTGGGCTTTGGAATCCGCATGCAAAAAGCATCTCTTTGGAGCTGTGCTAAACACCCTTATCAAGGATGTCACCTGGGCACGATTACCCATTAGTCCTAGCAGAATATGCCTAGGGTTCAGCGCCAGAAGACTCTTCCGTCTTCTGAGAAGAATCTTTTGTTATTCCTAGGCCTGAAATTACAAAGTTAAGTTCAAGCTGGCTCCAAGTCTACCCACAAACCCTGGGCTTCCATTTCCCCCCAGCTCCCTCAAGATTTTCTTCAGCATGAGTGGGGTGCCCTCAATTTCCAAAGAGGCAGGAAGTCTGTTGGTCTTTGCCCCCCTTTGGTTCATGTCTTACAACATCCATAGAGGTGATCCTCACTACCGTTGCTGCTCTTAAAAATCTTGTTTTATTGTAGAAATCACTGTACAAACCGCAAATACATTATGACTCGAGCTGTGTAGGTTGAAATCTCATGTATTTGTGATTTGTAAACTGTGGTTTTTACAATAAAGCAAGATTTTTAAGAGCAGCAATGGTGCTGCGGATCACCTCTATGGATAATTGTCTACAGCTGTACAACTGCAGATTGGGCACCCGTAAACTCTACTAATGCTGGCTTGAATGGGTAGTAGCACTATATTTTTTTATCCTTACTTACAATATACCTGTCTCTGTACAGATTAGCAGATCTTCATGCAGCCTTTGCAGGTCTTTTGGAGCAAGGGGTCATCACAGGATCTTCTTTTGTAGAACAGTTCCAAAGTTTGTATAACCTATTCAGTTTCAAAACCAAAAGAAACCTTTTCCCCATCTTGGAACTCAAGACACAAAATTAATTTGGGCCCAAAAGGTTGCACTGAATCCACCAGATCTGTCATAGCTTCTCTTTATTAGGTAGACATGCTGTAATCTGTAGACATCTGCATGCTGATGTGTATCTATATGTCTCATTTTTTGAGCGCATCTGCGATTCCTTCACATTTCCTAGATCTTCTAGTTTTTTGCCCTATCATTCAGCCTGTCTTCTGCACATTAGGTGTTTACCAAGGTACTTTCTCTTTGCTAGCGTTGCTGAGCTCCTGGACCCCTACAGCACAACATCTTGTTTTCATGAGTTTAGTCAGTCCGGTCCAGTCCTTGGACAGACCAATTCCCCTTCTACTGAAAACTAGGTTGTACCTGGCTCGGTGGTTTAGGAATCCTGCTCTGGGAATGTCCTTCCTTTAGATCTCTTGGAAGTTACTTATTGCGGATGCCAGCCTTTAAGCCTTGAGGAGTGTGGATAACCCTGTCTTTGCAGGGGGTTTAAACATTGCAGGAGTCTCCTCTACTGACCGGCATTCTGGAGCTTGGGATGATGTGATTGTCCCTGCAATGCTTAACAACTCTGAAGAGTTATCTGACCTGAACCTTCATGTTTCAGCCGTGTCCACTGTACAGTATATTGTATTCCTAGCGTGAACAATTGTCAGGCAGAATTCTTGGCTAGTAATGACTGGACCCCGTTGGAATGATCCCAGAGGTGTTCTGGAACCTGTACCACAGGTGAGGAAGCCAGATGTGGACCTTGTGGCCTCCATGTTCTACAAAGAACTGGACAGACTGGTCCCTAGGTTCAGGGATCCTCTAGCACAGGGGTGTCAAACTGGCGGCCCTCCAGCTGTTGCCAAACTAGAAGTCCCATCATGCCTCAGCCTTTGGGAGTCATGCCTGTAACTGTCAATCTTGCAATGCCTTATGGGACTTGTAGTTTGGCAACAGCTGGAGGGCTGCCAGTTTGACACCCATGCTCTTTGCTCTAGCAGAAGTAGTGAATTCTCTGGTGGCATTCAGTAATCAGTATTTACTGATTTACAGTATGCCTTTCCTCTCAAGCTACTTCATCTACTGCATCATAGGATTAAGATGAAAGACATTAATAGTTCTCATAGCTCCAAACTGGCACAGACAGATGTGTCACTTCGACTTAATCACATTCCTGACTGATGCTCTCTGGGCTCTTTTAGATGCTTCATTGTCATTGGCTGTAACAGCTGTTGAAGCCCAGGTTATGAGAGACAGAGCCATCTTAGACCTGGATATCCTTGTGATGCTCAAAGTTAGTCTGCTTCCCCAAGATCTACTATCACACCTGAAAGGCATACTTCATATGGTGTGAGGGAAGAAACTTTCTTGCTAGGAAATACTCTGTGGAACAAATCCTGGCCTGGACCAGCAGTTGTCCCTCAACACCATCAAGAGTCAGGTCTTTATGCATGCAGTCTTGTTCCAGAGAATAACTAATTTTCTTCATCCAAGACTTTCAAACAGGGTGTCTCCCATGTGGCTTCCCTTTGACTCCATGAGATGTGAGTTTGGTTCTCTGTGCACTACAAAAACTGTTTTGAACCTATCAGGCATATTACACTTTCCACTCACATACAAGGTTGCGTTCCTTGATACCATCACCTCGGTGAGACAAGTATCTGAGCTGGTGACCTTATATTTTAAAGATCCTTTTCT